ACACACACACACACACACACACACACACACACACACATTGTTTTTTATGTTTTCTGAGGACGCTCCATAGGTGTAATGATTTTGTACTGTACAAACACCTGCCCGTCACACAAAAATCACTTTAGATTCTTTAAAAGTTTCTTATTTTAAGCATAATCTTCAAAGTTTTAATACCATCTCACACACACACAGACACACACACACACACAATGTAGCATAAAACAATACACTTAAAATATTGTTATAATGTCATTTAATTAAATTATGTTAATTATTTGAACTAATAGTTGACATTCTAAGTTATCCACCATCACCTTACAAACATAACATTTCAAACATGTTTTACCTTACAATTGCATATATCAATAAATTATTTCACATATTTTAAATCATTATCAATAACGTCCCGGTTCATTTAAAATGTTTGTTTAAACAACAACTTGTGGGACAAAAGGCTGGTACAGATACGAGAAAAGACATTCCAAATGCGACTCATGTCACCATGATACGTATTCTTCGGATACCTGCTGATTTTTGGGGGTTGTAAACACACTTGAATGAAAGAACGCATGTGAGGTCTTCACCCTGAGAATATTTAATTGTACTTAAAAAGTACAGATTAAGTTAAATGCAAAAGCGTACACCACACCAGACTCCTGATGACCGACGGTAGAAAATACCTACGCCGTTAAAACCTATATAAAATGTTAAATTTTAAGGTGGCTCGTGTTTCGTGTATATGATTGGGTGTGTGTATCTGATTTTACTTTTCTTATTTTTACAAAGATTCAATTTAAATTAAATTCCTAGTAAATATAAGACCAAAACATTATATTACAAAAGTATCATGTTGTTGCAGCATTTTTAAAAATAGGGGATGCCTACTCCAAACAATTCCTCCACTCACACACACACACACACGCTCGCACGCGCGCGCGCGCACACACACACACACACACCATTCAGGAAGGTCAACCAAAGCACCTCAGATTTCAAATAGGACCGCCCTGGACTCCATATCCCAGAATACTTGGCAGCGCTCTAAATCACCTGACTTCTGATTAGATGCACATGCAAGCAATTCATATTGATTAGACACCCTATATAAAGAGACTCAATCCCACATGCTTTATGAAGTATTAACTCGTCATCTGGTGTGGAAACTTGTCTATGCCTTTTATGGCTGCTTACAGTTTTTCTCGATTGCTTAAACACTATCACCAGGCTTTTGAACTAAAATTTCAAAACCATAACGCCATTTATCAAAAAGCACACCCATTTCCCTAAACTATAAACACTATTCTCCTTTTTGACCCGTGACACGAGTCCCCATGAGTCTGTGTGTAGTCAGGTTTAAGTCCCCACCAGGATATATAAACCAGTACACACACAAGGCCTCGATCTTACTTTTTCTCTGTTACATGTACATCTATTTCATTTAAAACACTTAAAGTTACAAGTTGAAGACGGTGTGGAAACACTATTCTCTTTGTACCCGTCTCTAAACACGACTTTAATAAATGAGTTGTTTTAAGCGAAAGCGATGATTCAGTCCGTTTTATTCAGTCTTTGTGTTTTAGGCGTCCACCTTTTAGTTTTGTTCCAGGAAACAGGTACGACTGTAACTGAGCGTTGGCACGTCTGGC